AAAAAAAAAAAAAAAAAAAATCAGTTTTATTACCAAAAAATATGTCCAACCTACATCCTACTCATCAGCAATACTTACAGCTTAGGTATACAAAACATAGGGTCGGAAAATTTAAATTCATAAGTGGACTAGCTTCAAATTTCTGAACTCAATTTTTTAAAAAAACAAAAAATGAGATTTCATTTTAAAAATTAAGTTTGGAAAAGAATACATTATAAACTAGAAGCTGGTGACAAAGTAAATTGACAGAATCAATCTCCTATGCAATTTGCATCCTCTTCGCCACAATGAATAAGCCCGAGTAAAGCATTTGATAGCTGATAACACAGAAACTCTGCCACCCAGGAACTATTTAGCAAGAAAAAAACATCTATGATCTGGACAAAAAAAAAAAAGCATAACATCGATGAATCTACATTTCATCTACATCGGAGATAGGGGCAAGAGTCCTCCCTATCCTAAAATTATGTAAACACAAGTTGAATTCTAAAACTTGCCATCTAAATCAACAAAATGCACGAGTGAACATGGGGGTGTCCTCCTAGTCCTTACAGAGAAAACAAACAAACAAAAAAACACAAACACAAGATCAGCAAATGTTGTGCCTTGATAGTACATATGAATCACACAGCTGACAGCAGCAAATCAACTCGAAAGCAAGCATCTGCATATCGGCATTGCCCACAAAGGATCATGAAACGAATATCTCAAGGGAGAGAGGAAGAGAGATTACGCAAGGGCACGGATTGTATCGCGAATTTCGCCATGGATCTGCTCCATCTGAGGGTTCATCTGTAACGCTGGGCCAGCCATCGTTACCCCCTCTTTCCGTTACCACCCTTCTCCTTCAGATTTGTAACGAAACTGAAAATGGCTCGCCGGAAAACGAAAATGGCCACCAACTGAAAGCCTGTATCGAAAATTCAGGCAATGCTGTGTAAAACGGAGGATCTGAAGAGGAAAAAGGAAAGGGTAATGGGGAAATTGAGATTGGGAGGAGAGAAGATCTCCCGGAGAAAGAGAATAATTGGGATGGTTTAGGGTTCAATTTGGCCGTTGACCGTTGCAGAAAGAAAAATAAATGAAATGAGATTGAATTGAAAGAGAAATTTTCATTGAAGAAATTTTTTTAGAAATTTTTGGAAAAGATTCTGAAAAATAATAGTTGTTTGGGTATGTTTTCAAATTTCAACTAGAATAAATGTAGTCACTTGGATTAATATTTTCCAGGTTTTTCCTAAAGTTTATCAAGTAATTATTTGTGCTTTTGAGTAATTAGTCCTAAGTTTATTGCATTCACATATTTGTCTAACTAGACATGTAAAAATTATGTTCAATAGTATTTTTAATATACAATTAAATATTATTGGTATATAGTTTTTTATTATTGCTATTATTCATGCATTCGTAATCGTAAGGCATCCCCATCCGTAAGAATTTTTTTTCATTTAAATGTTTGATACTTTGTATAATAAATGTATGTGTTTCATTCGATGCAAAAGAGATGGACCGGTTTTACCCATTCAATTTCTTAAATGCTATTAAATCATTTATTATATTTCTATTTAGGTTATTTTTTAAAGTATGTCACTTGCTGATAAAAATATGTATTTGTGTTAAAAAAATATAATTGTCTAACCATTAAATATTTCTAACATCAGCTTTAAAAGAAAGAAAAATATGTGAATGCGCATCTCGGTTACCAACTAGCTTTTATAAAATCAAAATGGAAAGATAGTAGAATTACTATGTGGACACCATATATATACCATGAAAGAGTGAATGGTTATTGTTTAAATAAATAAATACTATCTTCAATTATAAAATTATCAAAATCAAAAATCTATATTGTATCACCACATAATTCTAGGGTTTATTGCACCATATCCCCCTGTATTATATGAAATCTGCTGGAGATTTGGTGCAATAAACCCCATAATTCTACCTTCCAATATGACAAAACTGATCCAAATCGTATAACTTTCAACTCGCAATCATAAATGTTATATTACACAATCTCAGCGTGGGCAATCATAATATGTCAGTTGACAAATATTATTAATTGTTTTGTATAATATGGTATTCCAAACACTACTATAAACATTTTGACAAGGCATGAACAACAAAATAAAACTAGGAAATAAGGCCTACACAAGATAAAATCAAATCTTGATAAGTTATGCCACTGTTTCATAGGTACACCGGTCGGTAAATCATAAGCTGAGTATATGTTTTGCTCCCCGAGTAAATTCACATGCTCTCCAATAGTTTACACGATGAATAACGCCTTTCACACCACAACCAAAGAAAGAAAAGCAAATGCGAAGAAAGACCACAAATGTTCTTTTTTTTTTTTTTTTTATTTTACTACTACATAATAGGACACGCACATATGCACAACTCAATAACAAACCCAGATTATAAAAAAGAATTAACACAACAAAGCAAAAGACATCAATCAATTCCCTCACATATTTGTTTACTGAAGCCTCATCATGAAAATTGGACCGCATAGTAACCCTTATGTTATGAGACTGAACAATTTACTCAAACAATACTGTGCCTTGTGCTTTTCTTAGATACAACACGAAGATAAATATCAGATACCCATTGGTTGCACTAGTGTCGTATATAGGAGGTATGAAAAATTGCAATTTTAAGAGAAAAGCAGCACATCATGGAATGAGGTAAATACCTTCACGACAATTATGGCATTAACTCCGCAAACAATCAGAAAAGAGAAATAGCATGATGCATTTGTGACTTGTCTGTAGCCACCTGGAACACCTGGTGAAGTTCAATTTTGCAAAAAAGGAAATAATAGTAAAAAAATATGAGAGAGAGTAGAGAGAGATGACGAAATCCACAATGAAGAGAAAGAAAAATGACGAAAACCAAAATGAAGTCGCCTAACTAAACTACCTGTCTACCAATCTCCTTCACGAGCTTAGATGCTTTTTTAATGGAGAACTGGATAGTGTCTAACTCATTTACCAGCGACCCATTTGTTCAGTCTGTATGCCATTGAAGGAATGTGTGCCATTGAAGGAATGTCGGTGGTCAAGCATACAAACACTCAATGACCAATGAAATTAGCATTCTACAAAAGAAAAAGGAGCACTCACTTTCAATAGTTTTGGGAACAACCTATAAACAACAGCCTTTAGGACACTATCATCCTGAACCTAAACTTCAAGAATGCACATATATTATTGGTACTTGTTTGGAGCGTTCAATGGCTTGGTCAGTTTCATCCATCGTCTTCATTCCAGCATTAACAAGCTCCTGGTTCGACATTTCTACATTTATTTCCAAAAATTAATAGAAAGAAAAGAGTACCATTTAGCAAGCAGTAAAGGTGAAACGGTAGAATATCCAACTTTATACTAACGAATGCCACATTGGTACTAGATTGAAAAATACACTACCACTTATCAGGCCCAGAAGTTAAATAATTAAGTGAGAGATTAAGAACTGATTTAAATTCTCAACTAACAGAACAAAATGAGAATTTGAAAGGAATGAGGAAAATCCAATGTCAAGTTGTGTTGTAGGAGCAACAAGCTATTCATGATGACTGTGTCTATAGCCCTTATTTTACGAGTTTGAATATAATGTGGATTACAGGAATAATTTATTTAGCCAAATCATGCAAAAGATAGAAGTTCCTGAAATCCAGACCTAAAAGGTTGAATCAATAGATATCCAAATTCAGGTACCAGGACATCATCTCGTGACTTTTTTCCCCAGACATCCAGCAGAATTTAAAAATGGAATAATTAAGAAATGATTGATATGGTCCTATGGAAAGCCACCTGATGCCACTTGAACATTCTCATCAGCTATCGGCTCACTAGGACCAGTTCCCATATCAAAAAGTTCAACTCTTTTACCCCCAAGTTTGTTCATGTACCTAACAGAGCAAATAACATGAAAATCAGAGAAGTAAAAAAGAAAAAAGGCGAGGCCGGGAAACAATATGAAAATAACCAAAAAAGAACAATTCGTAACACAAAAATGTCCAAACTATTTAACACCTTTGTTTGTTATTTACAGTGAGTCATAGAAAACGTAGCTTGTTAGTATATCTGAGCTTATAGATATTAACCTATCTCATATAAGTACTTCACAACAAGTACGAGATTATAATATTTTTTTCAAATCACTATAACAAAAACACCCATATACGTAAAAGAACTTGAACTGCAAGCTATCACAAGCTGGAAATCATAGAAATAAATAAATAAACATGACTTACGTTTTCCTCAAAGCTACATATGAATTTAACTCTTTTATCTGCAAAAACAACCACAGAGAAAAAAAAAATCAGAGAAAAACATTTTCCAGGGTGTTCCTCAGAGAATCAGAATTTTGAAAAATCTAATAGAATAATCTACATCTGATGAAATCCAATTATACATGGGAACTAAAGATATCATATGAAATAGCCAATATCTTACAAATCAATTATAACTACTCACACTACGCTTACCTACCCACCGTGGATGTATTTTAACATGCTCATTCGGTGTTGACACCGTATAAAGATCTTGTGATCTTTCAGTCATATGCCCACCATAAATGGTATCCTAATCTCATGCCACACCACCTAGTAGGCATATTAAGCTGTCACCATGATTGGGTGCTATTTACACTACACCTCTCCAGCACTTAGCACCCGACAACTAAACCTGCTCATTGTGTCTGCATAATACTCGAGGCAATGAAACTTAAGAATTGCTATCTTAATATTTGGAGAAGGCTGACAGAAGAATGAGTGTGCGCTTTACATCCAATAGTGAAATACTAAGCTACCTATATTGGAACTTCTATTTCCTCTAGGATACAATTTTCATCATCACCCTAGCAAACATACTAAACTTCAATTACCCCAACATTTCAAAACACTGACTATGCATTATAAGAATGTTCTACAAAAACCGGCATGAGTAAAGAGCAAATCAATGTCAATGCCAATAAAGAAATGTGAGTCAGATAAAAATCAATTTTCAAGTTTCCAACACACTAACCATGGATTGTTTCTCATCACTAAGCTGCTTGTTCACCTCCGCAGGATTTCTACTTTCCTCATCTTTGATTTCACGGTCAAATTCTTTGATCAATCTGAAAAGTTCATAGAAAAATCAGTAACGAGTGGAACAGGTAACAAAGATGCACATCAGAAAATCAATAATGCAATATAAATAAATGCCACTAGTCCTTGTAATCCAAAAGATCGCATAATAAATTAACACAGATATCATTAATAAGTACAGTTTAATTAACCTCTATGAGGTTCTAGAGTGAGATATTTAATAGTACAATTCAATTTTTTTCAGGGATCTTCATTACATGTGATAGTATAATTCACCCCACATGAGACAACACAGCCGTTGCAGTTACGAAAGGAAACCAAAGTACACATCATGCACTTACCTTTTACACTCCCGCATCTTCCCTGTAAGCTCCTCAAGTTATTTGCTCTGTCTATTAGAGTCTTTGATTTTGTCCAGCTTTTGGAAGCCATTTCTGATAAGGGATTAAAGAGAAATAGCAGCTTTGGCTATGTAAAAACTACAAATAATTAAATTAAAAGTGGACTAGTTTCCCAATATTGAACCCAGAAAATCACAGTTTTATCTAATATTAAATGTGAAAACCTATGCGCTGAACAACAGAAGCTGTTGGTGAACCAAAAATAAGAGAAAGCAAAATGAGACCATGAACTGCAATCAGCAGACATTGAACTATTACTTCCACAATGAAAAAACACCCATGAAACCACATATAAGAACTCTAAAAATCCCAAGTAGTCACAAACCCCGCATAACATAGACCTTGTAAAACATATTCGTCACTGAAACACAATCAACCACTGAGGAACTATTTAACTAAGGCTTAAGGAGGAAAAAAAAAAATCTTCGTGATGAATAAACACATTGAATATAAATCAAAAATAAAAACACAGTGTAATTGTCATACAATCTAAAGGAAATCCAAATGATTAATGACATTCAAAACAAAGTTAGGGGCAGAAGATCCTTTGTCAAGCTGATATGAAAATAAAATTATGCTAACACAAGCGTTCTTCTCCTTACCCTTAATGGGGAGAGGGCAAACACAATATTAGAAAATGTTCTGCCTTGACAACATCTACGCAGCAATAAACCAACTCATACGTAATAATTGCACATTGTCATGCCATTTGCGCATAAGATTATCACACGAGAATATGGAGAGAGAGAGAGACAAAGAGAGAGAGACAGAGATACCCAAGGGCACGGATTGTATCGCGAATTTCACCATGGATCTGTTCCATCTGAGGGTTCATCTGTAATGCCGGGCCAGCCATCTTTATCCTCCCTTCCTCCTGTATCCTTTCTCCTCAATTTGCAAGAAAAAAGAAGCAATGGCTAGCCGGAAAATAGAAAACGGCCACCAAAGTTAAAGCCGCATCATAAAATTCAGGCCATGCTACAGAATCAGAGGAGATATGGAACGACGACGATTGGAATTGTCTGGAGGGAATTTTTAGGGTTCAAATTTGGAAAGGGGGATTTTGATTGGGAATTGATATGGTTTACGCAGTGTTTGGTTCGGGGGAAATGGAAGGAAGGGGAAGGGAGGCGAGGGAATTTAATTTTCTACTGTTTCGTTCAATTTTTTGTAAGGAGATGATTAGAGTTTTCCCTTCAAATCCCTCTCCTAAGAGAAAATACTCTCCTCTCCGGAAGTCGAGAATTTGGAGGGAGAAAAATTTTTTAACAACAAAATTACTTTTTGATCTTATTATGTGAATTATTTTATTTTTGTATTTCTTACATCATTAAAGGCATAACTGTTATTTTTACAATATTTTTTTTCTCTTCCATTTTTCTAACCAAATAAGGCATAGTTTTTAAACCCGGCCCGATAATCGACTCGGACAGGTCCTCGGATCACCGGGTCACCGGTTCAACCGTCGGGTCACCGGGTCAATTGCTGAACCGGATAATTAATTTTAAAATTTTTAAAATTATATATAGAGTATTTTATCATATAAATAATAAAATTAAATGTTTTGTGTATAAATTTTGTACATTAAAGTTTTAATAATATGTATGTCATGATAAATATTTACCATATAAACATATATACATAGTTTTACTTTTAAAAAACAAAAAAATAAAAACAATATATAAGGACCGGGTCAACCGGGTTGACCCGGCCGGGTCAATGTTTCGGGTTAGCCGGGTCAAGGCCGGGTAGGCCGGGTTTTGACCGGGTTTGACCGGGTCTTTTGTTGCCCGGTCCAAATACCCCACCCAGACCGGTTCCGGCTCCGGGTCGACCGGGTCCCGAGTCGACCCGTTGGGTTTTGACCGGGTCTTTTGTTGCCCGGTCCAAATACCCCACCCGGACCGGTTCCGGCTCTGAGTCGACCTAGTCCCGGGTCGACCCGCCGGGCCGGTCCGGGTCACATTACAGTGAAATAAGGTTTATTATTTTCCCTTCACCCACCTCCTACAAAATCCCTCCAAACAAGGTAAAATTATTTTATAGCACCTCTCCTCCTCTCTCCCTTCCATTAAAATCCCTGCCCCTCCTTTTACCTTATTTGAACCAAACATACCCTTAGGGCTTCAATATGGCCGTTGTAGAGAGAAAATGGAAAAGGAGTAAGGGCGTAGATGAGGTGAGGTGTGTTATGTTCATTTGTCGGGAGACGAAACATGTGTTGAAAAAAATTATAATTATCGTAGTTAATGAAAAATGTTAGTAAGAATATGGATAACTACTAAGGGCATCTTTAAGGGACAGGTTTATAGAGGTTTGTAAAATCAAACCTCAAGGTTTTGCTGTTAAAGTGAAGAGGTCCAAGGTTTGGTTTTTTTAAAATCTTCACCAAACCTGCAAATTAAAAAATGAAACAAAAGAAGAAGAGAAGAGAAGAGGGAGAGTAAAGTAGAACTTCCTCATTTTATGGTTTATTTGCTAGTATCGTGCCACACATGCGCAAATGGAGAGTGGGAGAGTGGGCCCAAGCTTGATATAATTTGTCCCCTCATTTTTCATTCATTTTGTGATCATTTTATATTAATAATTTTATTTTTCACTTGGAATTGTCCCCTCATTTAACAATAATTAATAATTAAAGTTAGAAAGTTCATATTATCTTAATATAATAATATCTTAAGTTTTAAAATGTAATTTTTCTTTTTATTTTTAATAAACAAACTAAAATGAACATTGATGATACAAGAAATACCTGACGTTAGTCCGAGGACAAATGGCGGCGATGTATACTCCGATGTGGCTCCTGGATGTGTCTTCTTTACTCCGACGCCTGCAAAACAGAACCCTGGAGGTGTCCCCAGGGGTAGATCCTCCGATGCTTAAGTTAGAATCGGTTTTAGGTTTTAGGGTGGTGGTTGTAGAATGAGTAGAGGAGAGAGTGTGTGTCGTCTTACCTTGACCTAGGTCATCCTTTTATAGAGGTCGAATGACCTAGGTCTTCCCTGTTGGTCCATCTTTGGACTTGGGCCTAAAGTAAGACACCTAAAGTGAGGCTCCGCAGGACCTTGGGCCTAAAGTGAGACTCCTCGAGACCTTAGGCCTAAATTGAGGTTGGTCCTCGGCCTTGATCTTGGACACCAACGGTCCTCGGAACACACGTGCTTTTATTTTCCCGAGCCACGTGTCGCCTAATAAGTGTATATTTTTTCCCTTATCAAACATGATAAATATAAAAGTATGATATTAAAATAACAATTGAAAATCGAATATTTTCGAACAAGAACGAATACTAACGTAAAACAAAGAAGTAAAACAAGGTTGTTCATTTTAAAAAAAAATTGTACTCAAATTTTAATTTCAACATTATATAAGTTTTATGTTTCATAATTTTTTTTAAGTAAAACTTTATATTGGTACATACTTAACACTCTATAATTATAAATAATCCAATACAATTATATATACTTATATTATTCTTTTATATGCATTTATGATAAATATATGAAATATTTTAGATTGAATAAAAATAAAATGGTGTTATAGTTTTAAATATTAATAAAATTATACGAGTATAATATTAATTAAAGTAAGTGAGAAACATGTGGGACCCATAAAAAATGAGGTTTATGGAGTTTATTGTTATTTGAAGTTTATGGGTGTAGGAGTAAGGATGAGGTTTTGGATGATGTATCGTGTTGGAAAGTGTAAAAGGAGGTTTATGAAGATTTGTTGGTTAAAGATGCTCTTAATTATTTACAGGCCACCTATAAAATGCTAGATTTAAAATACATGTCATATTCTATTATGTTTTTTATATTTCAAGAAAAAATATATTAAGAATAAATGCTGACGGTTCATGTTTGTACTTAGGTACCAAATAGACTCAAGAGTGGACTTGGTCTCATTTTTTTATTGACACATAAGTTAGACCATGTCACTTTTAATTACATTAGAAAATATTTTTTTATAGACCAAGTTTATTTTCTACATGGCATATGATATTCTTATAAGAGACAAAACATTGAGGGTTCCCTAAAGAATATCTACAATGGTGGTCCATAGATTACTCTATTTCATTGTTACGTAACCTAACAAATTCTATCATTTAAAATTTCTAGAAATCATTCTACAATCATTAAAAAATTTACAAATTTTTCTAGGTGTAGTAGTACTTTTAAACATTTATTATTATATATTATATTATTTATACAATTTATCTCTCTATTCTCCAACCAATTAAAAATTTACATTTGTCGAATAATACTACAAGTATCATTAATCATTGGAAGACGTAATTCTTAATTTTCTTTCCCTATGTTGTACATCTCAAAATGGACAATGTGTCGTTGCTGATGTTCTAAATATGTGCAAGTGGCATCTCTAATAATAAATATCCACTAACCTCATTTTTTCATTCTCAATGTGTCACGTCATCCAAAACCTTATTCTTACTCTTACAATCAAAAATCCTAAATAACCATAAATCTCTTTTCTTAATGAGTCCCATATGTTTTCCACTTACTCTATTTTAATATCATATTTCTATATATTAAATAACAACTAATTAAAAACTATATTTAATCACTTTTTATGGGCCCCCACATGATATTTAGTCTTACAAAGCTGGACACAAACATAAACCCCAAACCTGTTAATTCTAACTGAAAAGCTATGAGGGTGGGTTTTTCAAACATGTGCAAAATCCCCTATTAAAGTTGCTCTAAAGACAAATTGCACGACATCCCTTCTATTATATTAAAAGTGCACGTTTTCCTTCCATATTATCAAAATTACGTGAAACTACCTTATATTTAAAATATGTGTTTTTCCTCGGTATTTTAAAAATTGCAAGAAACTCACTCGATGTGAGATAATATGTCGGGTCGAGTTGACCCGAAAAGGGACAGGCAAGTCGATTGGAGGTCGAAGACCACAGGGGTTGTTGAAGCACAAGGTCGATGGTGACTCCACCAGCTAATAGATGCGCCTAAATGTCGAGCTAGGGTCCCCAGATGACCTGGTAGAAACTCGACATGGAGGTACACAGGTTGACGAATCAACCTGAAGAATAGTGCACGTTCACAATGAGGAGACAATCGAGCTCAATGGAAGTCGAGTTTGTCCTTCGAATAAACTGTCTAATGGGGCAGATTAATGGATAAAGTAGAATAGATGTGATTGAAAGTGGTGAGTAATTAAAAATGTGTAAGTGGATGAATAATTAATTAAAAATGATATGATGCATGAGGATAATTAATTGATATTATTTATTTATAATGCTAATACTAAGAGAGTTTCATTGAATTAAAGTTGATTTTTTCGCAAAAAAAAATAAATAAAAAAATAAAAATAAATATTAAAGTTGAATTGTATTTTGAGTTAAAATTTTTTTTTGTTTTTCTTTTTTTCTTTTAAAAAAAAATCCGATTAAATAAACTAGATATTCATATATTCAAGCCCTGAGGGCACGATTGGATATCAATAAAATCAATTTTGGTTGAATTTATTGGTTAAAGTGAGTTAATTTTGAATAAAGTTGATTGAGTGTAGGGTTGAGTGAGGTTTTGAATTTGTATTTAAATCATATTTACCATGTAAGATGCGATGTTAAAGTAGGAGAAATGTTATTGGAAATAATAAGTAGTTAAAAATATGTGAATGGACGAATAACATGTGATGTGTAAGGATGATTGATTGGTATTATTTAATTATATTGATAATACTGAATAAATTGAATCAGATTAAACTTGAGTTAATTTTTTTATTTTGGTAGTGTAAAAAATTATTCAATTAATCAAAATTGATTTTAACTAGTACTCTAGTAGCCAATCGCGCCTAAAAGCTAAGGGGGCGTTTGGTTACAAAAAAATTCAATTCATACTTAATTCATATTCAAAATCTAACTCAATTTTAACTCAGTCTCGCTATTCACAATATTATCAACATAACTAAACAATATCAATCAATCATTCTTACACATCATAACAACTTTAATTCATTATTCATCTACTCTCATAATTTTAATTAATCATCACTTCATACCATCTCTTCCCTACTTTAAAATCAAATCAACTTTAATTATTATTTTTGAATATTATTTTAATATAAACTCAAAATCTCATTAACAACTAACCATACCATATTTTTTCAAATTAACCTTGTTAACAAAAAAAAAAAATTAATCATTTTGGACGGATATATTTGTATTCAAGCACTCCCTAAGGGTTTGCTTTGATACAAATTTGTATCCAAATATCCATTAACTTTTATTGATACTTTTTTAACTCAAAATTTAACTTAAATTTAACTAATTCTCATTATCCTCAATATTATCAATAAAATTAAATAATACTAATAAATCATTATTACACATTACATCAATTTTAATTTGTTATTCATTCAGTCACATAATTTTAACCATCAACACTTACAATCACATCTTTAATATTTTAATATTAAATAAACTTTAATTATTTCATTTTAAATATTATTTTTAATACAAAATCAAAATTCAAGACAAACCTAATCTAAACAACTTTCTCAAAATTGATTATAGTTAATCAAAATTCAGTCAAATCTATATGCAAGCACCCAAAGGTTTGATTCGTGTGTCAGTCATAACTCATAAAGCTTACCACCTCTTTAAGTACATGCCCGATTACTAATTGTCAAATGTCTCGATTGTTAGATAGCGGATTGAAGATAAATTAGTGGATTAGACTTAATTGAGAGGTTTGACCCGTCAAATCCGCTATTTGAGCTTGTTTGGTAAATAGCTTATTTGATAAGCTTTTTGGGTCCAAAACTCTAATTTAGAAAAAGCTCATTAGAGCAGCCTTTTGGGGATAGAGGATTCACAATCTATTTAATTTGTCTTATTTATTTTACAATCTACATTGGTTTATGGTGCTAATAAATAATAATAGGTCATCCATATGATTAATTTATCTAGAAAAATATAAAATTCATAACTTCTTCATCAAATATTAAAAAAATAATATATTTATAAATTACCAATTAAAGAATATTAAATGTTTTAATATATTATTATTAAAAGAATATACCATAAATAATAAAATGTCCTTATTGGTCATTTTGCAATGTCAAACAGCTATAAACTTTCAGTTATTTATCAAACACTTATTTAAAAATTGTTAATGCAATTTGTTGGTCAAATCAACTAATATAATTCACTATCCGCTATCCGCTGATATAATCCGTTATCCGCAAGCTGATTGCCGAACAAGGCCAAAATAACTTGTGGCCGTAACTACCCAAATTAGATTCCCACGACCAAAACAAAAGGCAAACGGCAGCACTTTGTTTAAGCAAAACACGAAATCCGAATATAATATAACTTATCGTAACTAGACACGCACTAGCCATGATCAGTTTATAAAAAAAAAGATCAAGGCGCCTAATTAACCGACCTTCTATCACAAAGCTTATTATTAGCAATGGCGTTTCATCCTTGACCAACTCGCACCCTGTAAATCGAATCCCATTTGGCACAATCTCATTCGCATACAACTCCAATCAACAGCCCCACCTGCCCATTTTCCCTCGCTAATCGATCGGACCATGGATTCTCTGCATGCGTTTGTGTAGCTTTTTCTATATTCTATTTCTATCCACACGCACAACATCGTGAGCTCCGCCCCATATGATGGAGTGGTGTACGGTGGAGCTTCTTGTATAATTGATTAATGGCGGCTAACAGAAAAGCATTGGAGGGTTTCTCGAAAGGGCTGATGGCGGAAGTCCGGAGATGGGGTTCCATGAAACAGACCGGCGTTAGCCTTCGCTACATGATGGAGTTCGGGTCCCGACCCACGACCCGGAATCTCCTCATCTCTGCTCAGTTTCTCCATAAGGAGCTCCCTATTCGGATCGCGCGTCGGGCTATTGAGCTCGACTCGCTCCCCTGTGGCCTGTCCCTTAAACCCGCCGTTTTGAAAGTAAGCCTTCTGTCCCTGTAAGGACTGATTGATTTCTGGGTGTGGGTCTTTTATTTTTTAATAATTTTCATGGGTTTTGTTGTGGTTATATAAATTGAATGTTTTCTTCTTGATGGGTAATGGTCAGAAGTGATGGTATGTGTTTTTGTTGATGGGAGGAGAGAGCGACTGATAAATTTTACATTTTATCACTACTCTCTTTCGGACCTCATATGCTTTTGAGCTTTGGAGCGTATTTGTAATGTATTCTATTCCAATTTCTACTTCCGCTGGCACTTTTGTGGAAGCCTTTCGTGGAGTTGCCATAATACTGACTTGAGCTATCTTTGCATGTTCTTAGAGCATCTCCAATGTGGCCTTTTGAAATCATAAAAAGTCTTCCACATTATTAACTTATAAAGTGTTTGATTCATTTATTATCAAATGCATCTTGCCGTGGGATCTGTTATGCTGAGGTGAAAAACATTAATGGTGACAATGTTGAGTCCACTTTCTAACATCCAACGGATGTTAAACACGATAACTCATTAATTCACTTTATGTTTGGTTAAAGTTTTTGTTTCTATGCATATTGAGGAATTGACGCATATCCACCGAGACAAATAACTTCTTGTTGAATTGACGCATGGGAGATGACAATTTGAGTCGAACTCTTAGTCTCTTAACACTCATCCTATATGGATAAACATCACAATCATTCATAGCCATGCGTTGAAAATTAATAACCATCAAAAGCATAACACTAGAGATGCTTTTAATTGTAGTAGAATGTTCATGATCCATAATGGACTATAGATCATGATTGCACCTTGTAATATCATAACATCATGTGGATATTTAAAACAACATTCCTTTTTCCATTATAGGTGCGAGATTGGTATTTGGATTCTTTCCGCGACCTTAGGTCCTTCCCAGGTATTAAAGATAACAATGACGAGGTGGAGTTTACACAAATGATTAAGATGGTTAAAGTTAGGCACAACAATGTGGTCCCTATGATGGCTTTAGGAGTGCAACAGTTGAAGAATGATCTGGATCCTAAAATCAATTACCTGGACCTGGCTGAAATTCATCAATTTCTGGATCGGTTTTATATGTCTAGAATTGGTATCCGCATGCTCATCGGTTAAGACTTCTTCTTTTGGGCCAGCTTACTATCCTTTCATTCAATATTGGATAAATGCAGAAAATTTTGCTCACTACTTTTGTTGTCCCATTTGCAATTATGATAAATGCAGGACAACATGTGGCGCTCCATGACCCAAATCCTCCTCCTGATTGTGTTGGATATATACACACAAAAATGTCCCCAGTTGAGGTTGCAAGAAGTGCTAGTGAGGATGCTCGTTTTATTTGTCAGAGAGAGTATGGCAGTGCACCGGATATCAAGATCTATGGAGACCCTAATTTTACATTTCCGTAAGTCAATTAATTCTTTGATTTCCAGTTTAACGCACTTTCCCGGTTGCAGAGGATTAACTTCTGGATGCTTATCATTTTCGTGGATAAGTTACACGAAATCTGTTTATGTGCCAGCTATGTGCCGACACACTTGCATTTGATGGTGTTTGAGTTGGTTAAGAATTCATTGCGTGCTGTTCAAGAACAATTTATGGACTCAGACAAGGTTGCTCCTCCTATCCGGATAGTAGTTGCTGATGGCATGGAGGACGTAACAATTAAGGCAAGGCTCCGAAACTTTTCTCTGTGACGTGTGATGAAGAAGTGTCATATGTGTCTTACTTACGATTATCTAACTGTGCAGCGGCGGAACCTGAATTATAATTTTGGGGGTACCATATATATCATTTTACTTAATAATTTATTAAAATAATTAGCAAAAGGCAAACTACTAAAATTAATTAAAATAAAAGGAGAAAAGAAGAAAAATAATGTGTGAACAAACAACCTTGCACGAAGATTTGTTGATAAAGTAGTGATCTTAGCAGACATCTACCTTACACTTAATTTAACACGTGTCTTTATTTTTTGTTCGTAGAACCAATTAGAAATACATTTTTTAGCATATGATAGTGTAAGAATATTGTCAAACATTTTAAGCATAGTTCTGCCCTTGTAACTATGCATGCTGGTATGGGTTTTCACTATCCAACTACGAGCTAATAGTATGAGCTTCCTTAGATTTCTGATGAAGGAGGGGGAATACCGAGAAGCGGTCTTCCAAAAATATTTACATATCTCTACAGTACTGCAAAAAACCCTCTCGATGAGCAGTCAAGCACTGACCTTGAAACACCGACAACCATGGCAGGATATGGCTGTGGTCTTCCCATAAGCCGTTTGTATGCTAGGTATTTTGGAGGGGATCTGCAAATTATCTCCATGGAAGGATATGGTTAGTAATTATTATCTCTCTCTCTCTCTCTCTCTCTCTGTCTGTCTCTGTCTCTGTCTCTCTCTGACTAAGCATGTTACTTCTCTGATGATTTGCAATAGCCTAAGCCGCCCTTTCAGAAGTTATTCTTTTTGCGGCTACAGTTTATTATTTGTGTTGCGGGACATTATGTGGGAAGTATGTTTACAGTTCTTCTAAGTAGAGATAGACGGAATTACCTAATGATAGGTTCATTACTAGAAAATGTAGCAGAACTTTTTTGTGGATTTATACATGAATATCTATATAAAGCATCTGTTTTATTGCATTCATTTAAATTCCTGCATGTCTGATAGATGGATCGAATCACATCTCCGTGTTTAGCCATCCGTATTAGATTTTATCTAAAAGTTGAGCTCCAGTTTTTTCTGGTTTGTAATACAGGAACAGATGCTTACCTTCACTTGTCTCGATTGGGTGATTCTCAAGAACCTCTCTCATGAAGGCTTCAAACCTATTTGTCAATGAGTCATGTGGGGCTTTTGCTTCTGTAAATTCTTCTACCATAAAGTACTTAAATGGAATATGTTGCTACTGGCAATTTATGAAGCAGCTTTTTTTGGCTGATCTGAAATGTTCATGTATAATAAGTCACATAGGAGAAGAACAGTAGCCTCTTAGGTTAGCTAATTCGTATTTTTGTTATCAACACTGATGTTTGTAATTGCATATAATGGCCAAGAGTTGACCATAAGGCACTTGGAAAGCAACTAACATTAAGGAGTGGCATTATCACCTTTATATTGTGAACAAGGAACAAAATTGAGCACTAAGAATTAAGGAACCAAATTGAGCATTAAGAATTGGAGTTTCATGCGCATCAATTCACGTACATAACTGTCCAAATGTATTGACAAGTCAAGAAGAAACATCCAGAGATTTATATGTAAATCGGTCTTAGCATAATGAACTAGATTCATTGGCATGCTGTTCTTCCATTCCTGAATAATTGGTTGAATGCACAAACTTAGACGATCATGTAATCTGAAGCTCGTCAAAATCATCTTTCCTTGCCGTATCATTAACCAATTTACAAAATTTGGCAGCAAATTACATTCCACTTCTTAAGGTACAAACAACAAGGAAGAAGTAAAACATTAAACTTAGTACAAAAATATTACACACAAAAGAAATGGAATGATGTGGCCAGAGACTGATTATTCAGTCGTATCGTCATCAATAAAGTTGAGATCTTGATCATCGCCAGAGGCCATGTCATCATTTTGAGCAGGATCATCATCATCCAAAGGCTCCACCACATCTGCCAGCACTGTCATCTCCAGTGATCCTTTTCTTGACTCTATATTTCCATCATCAGAATCGTGTATATCATTCTCAAACGTGTCTTCATGATCCATTTCAGTATAAAGAATTTCCTGCATTGTTTCAGTTCACATCACTCAGTATTCATGACATTGGTACGATTTTTTGATGACCAACAAGGTGTATTTTGGTAAAAAGTAATCCTATGCACCAATATCAACTTCTTTAATCTTCATGAGACCATGTGAATATTTAGAAGCACTATAAACTTTACCAAGTAATGGACCAAGATTGACAGTTACCACCCAAATAAGATATGTTAGACATGAAAAAAGAATCACTGGGTAGCGCATATGACTGCGCAAGTGAAAATTAGAAAGCGTAGCTGAGATGACAAAAAAATCATATAGAGATGTCATTCAAAAACTTTAACGACTGGAGTTGGAGAATACTAAGTATGAAGCAGAAAGGGTAATACAAGAAAAAGAAGATTTGTTTCATGGATACGAAAAAGACACATCAGCATAATATCTGCAGAAAAAGGGCCCACTGCACATGCATTTGCTTTAAAGTGCCTTCTCATATCTGAGCAAGCCACTTTCTTTCGCAGCCGCAGATACGAATGGGTATTCCAAACATATAAGATTGTCATTACTCATATAAACAAGTTTAATTTCACCATAAATCATTTTATCCTGTTGATTATACAAAAATCTAATCCCTTCGGTGTTCAGGCTAATTTACTTTCAAGATCATCAAACAGTTCAGAATTTTGTANAAAAAAGAAAAAGAAAAAGAAAGAAAGAGAAAAAAAAACAAACAAACATGACAGTTGTTGAGGTGGAGGGTAAAGTTTTTCTGTTTTTTTCCTTCTTAGTGGTTATAGCATCATATGCAGTAAAAGTCCCAACAATGCTGACATTTAAATATGAGCTCTACCCAATTCACCCACATGCAACTCAACAAGGCACTAGGCAACTGAGAAGTAAATCACGTAAGACAGTGAAAAGACTATATGCTCAAGCAGTACCTCGTCTTCTTGCAAGGCTTGTTTCTCAGTCTCCACGATCCAATCATACAATAGATCTTCTTGAAGAACAATGTCAAGTGACATTGAGTTGCTAGACCTTTTTCTCATCTGGCGTTCCCTAAGCCTCAAATTGTAGTGAACATAAATAGTTTCATTCAGTCTTTTCTGAGCCAACCTATTTTGCTTTTGTTCATAGATCTGATCATGTATGCTCCAGTTATGCTCACACACAAAGGAGGAACAACTTTGGCTCAGTATCCGCACAGCTATACTCTGCAGCTCCAAGCAATTTATCCCGTGTTGTTGCCACCAGGCAGCTAGAGATAAGGAAATTGTCATTAGTGTAATTTACACATCACAAGTTTAATATGATTTTAACGTTTCTTTCATGGTAGAACCTGGATCAAGCTCTGATCTGGTACTGATAGCCAAATCAGTCGCAAAATCAGCTTTTGCAGAACCGAAGTCAGACATCTGAAAAGGACCACATGGTGTAAATTAAATAGCCAAAGCAAGTTGAAGACCTTGGGGAAAAAAATTCAAGGAGATGTAATTAGATAAAATAAAACTGTTACCTGCATGGATGCTGAAATTCTTCTGGCACTGTCTGGTTCCAATCTCACAATGCACGCATTTAGACCACGTACAACATCCGGATGCTACAAGATGCACAGTACTACTATTTAACTAGCAAAATTTGAACATTTAAACACCTAAAAATTATAAGTGCTTTGGATGAAATTTTTAAGGACAGTCATTTTCATACCAGAATAAAGTCTGGACGATATCGGTATGAAGGATTCAAAAAGTATGCAGCCAGATAAAGAGGATGGTGGAAAAGTGAACTCCAGTGGTTGTCAATCACACTCCAAAAGGGTTCATACTTACGCGCATCAGCATTATGATTGATTTTGATTGCAAGCTTTGCCCTGTACATGTCATTGTAGATGAATGGCATAGAGAGGCTCTCATCACTAGTGATCTTCTGGAGTACCTCTACTATTGGTTCTACTGATTTTTTAACGAATTGTACCTTCCGCCAAAATGAGGAATCAAACACAATATTTTTCACCTCTTTACTATCGTCTAGTTTTGCAAATCTGGATGACAACCATTTGTTTGATTGAAACATTCTTCTAAGAGCAATCCTATTGTCAAGCAAACCTAGCAATGTAGTAAAACTTGAAGCAGACCGAGTGACAGATGGCCTCAAAAGTTCCTCACCTCCAGTAAATTCTTTTTTCATAAGGTTCAATACCCAAATCCTGTTGTAAATGAATTTTGTAATTTTCTGCGCTTTCTCTATACAGTCTCGTACACGGTTAAGCCTCATAAAATCATCTAGGATTTGATCAATACAATAGGCAGCACAAGGTGTCCAAAACAAGTTTCTCCTCCTCTCCTCAATCATCTTCCCAGCAGCCCGGTAACTGGGTGTATTCTGAGTAATTACCTACACAGAAAAAAGGAGGAAAGGGAAGGAAATAAAACAAAGCGAAAGAAAAAGTAACTATTAGAGGTATGCTTAGAAGCAAAAGGTGACCTGAACAACATTTTCCTCCCCCATCTCCTCCACCACTTTGTCAAGCAATTTATATAAATAGTTTGCATCGTCAACTAAACCCGTTGCATCAACTGAACAAACAAAATATACTCCACGAGGACAGGAAACCAAAATATTAATCAATGTCCTGTCCCGACAGTCTCTCCAACTATCCGCCAAGATGGAACACCCTGTAACTGCCCACGAAGATTTATACTCCTCAAGGTAATTTTTTATGGTTAAAATCTCATCTTGTAGACATCGGCCAGATAACAATTGGCTAGAAGGAACCACAAAATCTGAGCCATACTGACCAACCAATTCTAGCATTTTGTGAAAATATGGGGAGTTGGCTGCATGAGAAGGCACTCCTGCATGAGAGAAAAATTTGAATATGGCAGAAGTGACTTCTCTCCGGGACTTCTTGAAGGGATCTGCCTTTGATTGTCTGCTGGATACAGGGATCTGAATTTTGGGCGCCTTTGAAACATTAGCATCAAACCTTGGCCTTTTTGACAGTGGTTCAGACCCACTACAAGTAGACACCGGTTTGAAATTTCTTTTCAAATCTCTGTCCAATCTTCTATCCCCAAGTTCAAGTTTATCTTTACCCACAGAATAGTCTGCATCCTCTTCTTGTTCTTCCTCTTCATTATCCGAGTTCAGGTAAAAAGAAAACATCTCCTTAGTGTCTGGTCGCCTGTGCCTCCTACCTGTACGGTGCCATTTCATGTTCTCTTTAATTGTGATATAGACTTCCTCTGGTGCACTCTTGCAAGGAGCAACTTCCCCAGGTATTCTAGCTAAATGCTGCTTAAACCTGTTGATACCACCACTCACAATCTTCTCACAGTAATTGCATTTCACTTTCTTCTTCCTGTCATCCTGAGGAATACCATGTTCCCAACCAGGATCAACATATCCTAGAGAACGAAGTGGAGTCATACTTACGACTAAATCCCGGTCACCTGACATCCGCTTACTTCTTTTCCTATACCTGACATGCTCTTCTTCCTCGACATCATCAGTAGAGTTGAAATTCAGATAAGATTGTTCATCATACTCGATTTGCCTTGATTTCTTGCCAGCTCGGCAGCCCTCTAAATTCTCCCACATTTTCAGACGCACGTCATCTGGTGCCTTGTCGCAACAAGTCACTTCACCAGAAATCCGGGCAAGATGTTGCTTCAGTCTGTAAATTCCTCCACTAACTACTTTGCCACAGTAATTGCATCTGACCTTCTTCTTTCTATCATCTTGAGCAACACCATGCTCCCAACCTGGATCCACATATCCAGATGACCTAATCATTGATGTCATCTTTAGACCATTCCTTTATGCAGTCCTTCTCACAGCAATGTAAATGGGCAACTGCAGATAAACTGTGAGGCTTGTGATCTTTGCAGTAAAAACCATCTCGTAACAACACACCTGCAACATCAAAAATGATAAGTCAGGATAACAGTCGCAGAGTGCACTTAGAATCAAATCTATGACCATAAAATCAGTGTGTTTGACCATAGCAAATTCAGAATCCAATCTTTTGTCACCACAACTGTACATGCACATTTTCTAATGTGATGAACTGAGAAAGAAAGAAAAACCCCATGGCAGACAAGACAGCTTTCTTGAAAATGAAAAAGAACTTAACAGCAGAATCTCAGCAAACAGAGATGATATAATAGTCAGCTGGAAGCTAACTACTTTTACATTTCATAAGCTACATGGGGACGCTAATCCTGTAATCCACCAACATTATGAAACACATACAAGCAAAGATTGGGTGTTAACTAGCAGACAGATAGTAAACTAGCAAATAACAACCAGAATAAACTATAAAGATCGCTTGTAATCAAAATAAAAAGAAACTGTAATCGAACAAAAAAGATTGGGCGTAGATTGAAAGGCAAGATACCTGAATGATTTGATTATAGGGCGAGGAAATCGGAGAAATTTGATGAAGAGATAGTGAATCGAACTTGCTGAGAAAATGGAAATAGTACGGATCGGAAGAGAAGCGAGTACCCGAGTGGAGAGGTTTTGAGAATCGCCGAGTCTCCGAGTGGACGCGGTGGGTTGGTTCTCTTTCTCTCTCGCTCACTACCTTTTAGTTTTTATGACATGATTGGTATGATGGGATGAAAGTTTGTAGCAAGGAAATGAATTGAAGAATGAAATAATTATGGAAATGGAAATGAAACATATTTTGTCATTGTTGCATTTGGTATGCAGAAGGAATAGAACTAGAATGGAATGACATTATTATTTTTTATTATAAAATAAATAAAAGTTTTTTTAAAAAATAATATACTTTTAATAAATTATATATAAATGCTTTTTTAATAATATATATAAATAAAATAATATGTTTTTAACAATATATTTTGAATAAAATATAAAAATAAAATAATATATTGTTTTTTTTTTTCCCCAAAACGACAGATATAACTATAATAAAAAAGCGGCGAACACCGTTCGAATACATGATACATAAACACTGAAAATAAAACTGAGAGACACACCCGAGGTGGTCTAGAACCTCAACTAACACAAACGACCTACAAAGATGTCAAATAAGCCAACTAGCAAACCAACAGAAACTACAGAGCCCAACCCGAACCACTGCAAATAAAGCCTAGCCGGGAAGGACTCCCTCAACCAAAACAAAAATACAAGGAAAACAGAAAGAAAAAGATCAAAACCTAAGAACTAGCAGCTGCATAGTAAAATTCAAGCCAGTCTGAGAGAGCAAGCTTCACAATCACATGTTCTGGAATCCAAGACTTTTGAAAAATCCAGAGGTTTCTGGACATCCAAAGCCACCAAAGCAGGTATGTAGTTAGTTGAATGCGAGCTTCGGCCACTTCAGACTTCTTTAAAGAACAAACATGGAACCACCAGTCAGAAAAGTTGCTTGTCCTGCTGCAAAGTCCATCCCACTGGACAGGGCTAACTTCCCAGCATCTCTTAGCTCTTGGACAGTCAAAAAAGATATGCTCCACAGTTTTCTGATTCCCTCCACACACAGCACACACAGTATCCAGATTCACTCCCCTTTTGATCAATTGCACAGCTACATGAAGAGTATTAGTTAAGCATTTCCACAGAAAGAATTTAAGCTTACCAGCAATTTTGAGCTTCCAGTATCTGAACTTAACTTCCTGCTTAACAGAAGAGGTATTACTGCTCTCTGGAATATCAGCTTGTAAGAGTTTGCGATTGGACAAAAATTTATAAGTACTTGACACTGAGAAATTCCCCCTTTCTCTCCAACCCCCAGTACAATCTGTCATTCCTGTCCACATGAAGAGAAGATATAGCCAGAATGGCTTTACTATCAGTTGCATCAAAGACCTGTTTAACCAGCCACTCATTCCACAGATTACTACCATCCACCAACAGATCCTTCACCCAAATCAAATGATCTCTAGCTATGGGAATTAAAGTTGGACCAGGTTTACTGAGCTTAGGTACCCAATTATAATCTTCAATTTTTGTATGAAGCCCATTTCTCACCTCAATTCTCATACACTGAGAGAAAATAGGAAGAACATCAACCCAACTGTTCTACATCCAAGATCCACCTTGAGTTTTTTTAGCATGAACAATAGAGGAGTTGGGGAAGTACCTATCCTTAAGAAGTCTGCTGACCAAAAGATCAGGATTAGAAGCCACCCTCCAAAGCTGCTTGCAAATTAAAGACTTGTTGAACAGCTGCAAGTCCAGAAAGCCAAGCCCCCCTTGCAGCTTTGGCAGAGATAGATTGCTCCATTTTTTCCAGTGAATACTCTGAGTTTGGTCAGTGCCTGTTTTCCACCAAAACTGAGCACAAAGCTTTGAGATTTCAGAGCACAGAGAAATTGGCAATTTAAAGCAGGACATTGTGAAGATTGGAAGAGCTTGAATAACTGACTTCAGCAACACATCTTTCCCTGCATTGCTAAGAAATTTTGTTTTCCAACTGGTGAGCTTAGTTCTGACAGAATCTAGAAGATAATCAAATACTTCTCTTTTTGATCTACCAATTCCCAAAGGCAGCCCGAGGTACCTCGTGGATCTGTGTGAAGATATTCCATTCATCAGAGAGCAGATAGAAGTTTGAATATGCTGAGGAGTGTTCTTGCTGAAAAAGATGGCCGATTTCTGCAGGTTAACAGCTTGACCAGTAAACAATCTATATTGCTCAAGCAGGTTCATGAGTATGGAAGCCTGATCAGTCCCAGCCTTGCAAAAAAACAGAGAATCATCTGCAAACAAAAGGTGAGAAAGCAAAGGGCCATTTCTGGAAACTTTCAACCCTTTGAGTAGCCCATTATTGACAGAGTGCACAACCAGAGCAGACAAAAGCTCAGCCACTATGATGAAAAGGTAAGGGGATAGAGGATCCCCTTGCCTAATGCCCCTCGAAGGAGTCACAAATCCACTGAGAGAACCATTAATTTTAAAAGAGAATGAGGCTGAAGAGACGCAGATCATAATTAACTTAACAAAGTCCATGTGAAATCCCATTTGCAGCATGATCTTTTTCAGACAGATCCATTCAACTCGATCAAAAGCTTTAACAAGATCTAATTTTAGTGCCATGAAGTAATTAGGACCAGATACATGTCTGTTTAAGAAGTGAAAAGCTTCTTGGGCTATGATCATATTATCCACCAATTGCCTACCTTCCACAAAAGCTGCTTGAAAATCACTTATGCAATGTGTGAGACAAACTTTAAGTCTCTGAGCCAAAATCTTAGAAATTATTTTGTAAACAACACTGCACAAGCTAATGGGCCTGAAATGCCCCATAGTTTCTGGGTTTTGGATCTTAGGAATTAAAGAGATCACAGAATGGTTCCAATACTTGAGCAGCATACCTGTCTGGAAGAAGCTTAGAACTGCAGCCATAAGATCTTCTTTGATTATGCCCCAGAAGTGCTGATAAAAGGCAGTTGTCATTCCATCCTCCCCAGGAGATTTATCTGAATGGAAACTGAACAAAGAGAGCTTAACCTCTTCTTCTTCCACTGGCTTTAGCAGAGCTTGATTCATTTCAGCATTAATTGTAGAAGGAATAAGTGACAGAATAGTATCCCTACCCCAGCAACCTTCAGTGGAAAAAAGATTGTTATAGAAATCTGCAATGTGCTTTTCAATGTCCTTCTGGTGAGATAAGATAGTGCCCTGAGGAGATATTAGTCTGGTAATGGCATTATTCCTCCTTCTTTGTAGAGTTAGAGCATGAAAAAATCGTGTATTAGCATCTCCATCCTTAAGCCACTTGGACTTTGCTTTCTGCTGCCAAAAAAGTTCCTCCTGTTTATGAGCTGCATTTAAACTTCTTCTAGTAGTCTCCCATTCTTCCCAGTCTATGTCAGCTTTGTTCACATTCAGAGTTTCGAGTTTAAGATTGAGATCTGCTATGGATTTCTGCCTTTGAGATTGAAAGCTGGAACTCCACTTCAGAAGGGCAATCCTGGTGAGTTTAACTTTTTCTTTGAGCTTGAAGAAAGGAGTGCCATTAACTTCTATCAACCATGCCTGTTTAACTACCTCCTCACAACCCTCCATACTTAACCACCGCTTGTCAAAATGGAACATTGTTTTCCTCCTCTCCCTAGGCAGACCTTGGTCCAATAAGATAGCCGAGTGGTCAGAGGCACTTCTAATCTTATTTAGAACGAAAGCATTAGGATGGTTCTGATTCCACTCCAAGGAGCCAAAAGCTCTGTCTAATTTTTCTTCCACCAAGAGCTGGGAAGGCCCTATTGTTGCACCATGTGAAAAGAGGCCCTTCCATCCTTATTTCCTCCATTGCCATACTGTTAACAAAGTTAATGAATCCAGAGAGAGAGATCTGAGGCCTGTGATTGCCACCCTTCTTGTCTGCGGAGGAGAGTATATCATTCCAATCCCCTACTGAGAACCAGTTGCTGCCCCAATATGATTTGTCCACCAACAGTGTGTCCCATTGAAGTGTTCTAATTGTTTTGACAGGACTGATATAAACAAAAATCCCCCATTGAGTCACTGCTTGAGGAAGATGAAATTGCACAGCAATATAGAACTCTTTCACCACCACCTGCTGAATAACAACATTGTCTTTCCAGAATAAAGCCAATCCACCACTAAGACCAAAAGGATCCACTATAATACATCTGTCTTCAAAACCTAATTTCTTACTAACTGTACAAACAAAAGCTTTAGTTTTTTTGGTTTCTGAGAGGAAGAGAAAATTGGGGTGATGAGTCTTCAATAACTCTCTGATTTGGGAAATTGTAGAGGGCCCACCCAGCCCTCTACAATTCCACACCATGGCTAACATTGATCACTTGGGTGCCACTCTAGGCTGGCAGCCCCCACCTTTTCAGAAATATTTGTTTGGTTAGAGATGTCACCTTGTTTCAAAAGCTTAGGTTCTTTGGATGATTCTGGAAGATCACTCACTGATGAAGTCCTCTTTAAACCAGAGATGTTATCAATAACTATAGGAATAACTGGTTCCCTTTGGAGCCTGCCAGTCTTGTTCCCAATTCTTTTCCAAGTTTTTGAAGGTCCTTGTGCCGATCTAACCTTCTTATCTTGCTGCACTATAACTAAAGCGGTTTCATTTTGTTTAAACAGTTCAACCTCCATCCCAGTAGCAGACTTAGAAGCATTTGACTGAGTAAGAAATACGGGAGCTTCAGGACTTAGTGCATTTGAGGAGGATGAAATGGAGGCAGCTGAGTTCAGCAAATTTGGTGAAATGCAGGTACCTGAGTTCTCTAAAGGCAGCTCCAATGGCACTTGAGAAGTATTCTGGATGGGAATTATTTGATTGCTATTCTCTGCCTGACTGGTTGAAGCTTTATATGAACTCCTTGGTTCTGAACTCGATGGTGAATTTGGGGGAGAGTTTCTGGTCCCTGTATGAGCTCCCAACCAGCGAGGACCATCTGCGGCTTTTAACCAGTCACCGTATTGACCATCCTTTAGAGTTTTGTTCTTGATGTCTTGAATTCTTCGGGAACAAGTACGATCTAGGTGGCCAATTTTTCCACAATAATGACAGAGGTTCATAAGCTTTTCGTACTTAAAACCCACACTTACAA